GCTGTATTTTGTATTACTATTAAGTAGTACCAGGCTGTATTTTGTATAACTATTAAGTAGTACCAGGCTGTATTTTATATTACTATTAAATACAACCTTCCACTGTATCTGTAGGTAGGTGGTGGGCTGCATTTTGTATTACTACTGAATATTTACTAAAAGTTACACAAAAACAAAAGTATACACAAGAAAAGAAGAGTGAAGACAGAAATACACTCTGAAAAAGACGAATATTTGAGAAGAAGGACCCCTCAGAGACCAAATGAACGTCAAGTTCTTTATTCCATGAATGTAGGAAAATAGATTCACATTAATGTTCTGGCTTCTTTCATCCATCGCTTTTTTTCAATTCACAAAGAAAAAAAAAACATGGCAAAGTAAAGGTGCATTGCACTCACAATTCTTATTTTCCATCCAAAACCAAAACGTATTTCTTAAAAACTCCCACGTTCAGACGTAAAGTGCAAAAATAACAAAACGACACAAAGCCAGCAGGATACAGATGAAAGCATAAAAACATTTAGAGGTGAAGAAAAACCAGACGAGCAGGAAAACCGTGCAAGAGCCTGGCAGTGCCTTCCCAAAAAAATTAAATAAAGTTTAAAAGAAACAGAGCGAGAGAGAGGAGGAAGAGCACGTGAAGGAGCTGTACAGATGTATGAAACTGCAAAAACACAACAAGAAGAAAAAACACAAGAAACTCATGAATCCCCAGAAAACGACAACAAGAAACTGTGTGGTGTCAAAAACCCGGGAGTTTTCTGAGTTTTACAGAAAACCGTGAGTTTCTGACAGCAAACAGCTGACGGTCCATCAGACCGAGAGTTCACCGTCTTAACATAAACTGCAGGGTGGACCACCATCAGCTTCCTCAAACAAACATCTCATCATCATCATCACTTCAGTCCATTTCATAAGAAGAATTTAATTTGAGCTTTTTATTCATCTTTGTTCTGGTCATTTTATAAATATTTTCTAAATCAGTGTTGTTTTTTTAAATCATATTTTATGTTTTTTTTTTATTTTATTTAGCTTCTCTAAATTTGGCTTAAATCACTGCTGATCCAGATCATAAATATTAATCTAGTTCAACTCCTCAAGCTCAGACAAGAGAAAAAGCTTTTACGTTAAGCGTCAGAAAAATATACTTCTGTTTAATCTCAACTTGTTGTTTAGAAATCATTTAATGTAACCAATTCCAAAACTCTGGAACAGGAAGTGACATCAGAGCGTTTCGTTTGATGCAGTCTGATCCGTCGGCGTCAACGATCAAATACCCGAATCCCGATTTATCATCTTTGCTTATCTGACCCGTTTCTGGTTTGCTTGTTTGAGCGACACGGCTCCACAGTGAAAAGTTTTCCCACGACCAACTCCACTCTGCGACCTCGTTTCCAGAAGCAGGGCCGAAGTAGGCCAAACTGGACTAAAACAAAGCAAACTGGGACAATTTAAAAAGTTGGAAAAAATTCACTGATGAACGTTTTCTCTGTCTCTCTTGAAAATCCACATTTCCTATAATGATGCTTATTTTATGACTTTTAGTTTTAGATGTTTTAAATCTTAAATTACAAACTCCCAACAAAATGAGCAGAGCCAAATCTGGACCAGTAAAATGTGGATTTTTGTAAATTTGGGATAATTTCTTGACATTTACGAACTCCTTTTCACCCGTCAGTGTCACCAAGAAATAACCACAGCTGGTTCAAGTCAAATCAGTGCAGCTCTCAACTTTAACTTCACTGTTGGTGTTGGAGTTTAAGATTTTTGTCAAATATTTTCCAGTTTGACTTGTTTGGTCCTGCACAGGAAAACAGCGGCTGCATATCTTCAGGTTCCCATCGGAACCATTAACACCATCGCATCCCGATTTCACGTTGGGTTCAGCATCATCTGTACAGCAGGTTTTTAACTCAAATACAGACTTCTAGAGTTGCGATACAAGATTCAAATTTATAACGACCAATAATTGGTCAAAGATTTCTGTTTTTAATCTGAAATAACCAAATTCTTAATATTCTGATATAATCTTCTAGAAATTTCCTGACTCAAAAATATTTATAGCAAATTCCAAGTATTCTTTTTAAAATTCTTTTTAAAAGTCTAAAAAAAGTTAAATGTCTAGACCAAGGGTCTGCAACATTTATGATCAAAATAGTCATTTTTACACCTTCGTTCATTAAATTAAACGTGTCCAGAGCCGCAATAAGCTGCGATTATCAACTGGTGGCCCATGGGCCACTTTAGGTTTGTTGGAGGAGATTTTTGTGGCCGGTAGGGGTGACATTATAAAGTTAAAACTATCTAATGATTTTTTAACACTTATTGATATTTTTACAATTTAAGACAAACGAAACGACCAGATTCTTGTTAAAAAAAAAGGGGGGGGTTGTTTTTTTAATTGAAAAAATTATGAACTGTGCAGAGCTATGTGGGTTTTTTTTAATTGTGAAAAAATAATTACCATATTTTCCGGACTATAGGGCGTACTTAAAACCCTTTATTTTTGTCAAACATCAACAGCGAGCCTTATAATCCGGTGCACCTTATGCATTAATTCTGGTTGGGCTCACTGACCTCGAACTGACTTTATGTGGTACAAGGCGCTCAAAAATCTGTCAAAATGAACTTGTTTTGCTTAAAGTGCCTTATAGTCCAAAAAAATACGGTAAGTATAGAAATAAAGCAAAATGTTGAAGAGTATTTACAAAATAAATGACAGGAAAACAGCTAAAACTAGTCTTTTTGTTGTTGTTTGTATAACAATAAAACTCAGTTTTGTGTTAGATTTGTTCAAAGCTTGAAAGCGTCGCTGCGGAGGGACCAAAGAGCCACATGTGGCTCCAGAACCGCAGGTTGCAGACCCCTGATCTAGACCAAAGATAAGCTACCTGTGACAAATTTAGACCTTGATAAAAAAAAAAAAACCCAGATGTCCCGTTAGTCCTAGAATAAACCCTAAATGCTCGATCTAAGCTGCTCCCTAAACTTTGTGTTCTTTGGCCCTAACATGAGGTCATGTGTCCGACAAACAGAAACGTGAGACTGGACAGAGTCTGACTAAAGTCCAGGTCACGTGACTTACGTAAACATCTCTAACGCTGTCCTAAAATATGGTTTGCACATTTATATTTCATAGAAAATAGTTCAAATGAAGCATTGATGCTAGACTTTTGAAATAAACCCCAACGAGTTAAACGCTCCTTTCACCGCAGATATCTTCATTTACTGTAACTTTTAAAGAGCATAGTTTATTT